CACACACACACACACACACACACACACACACACACACACACACACACACACACACACACATGGTCGACGGCGGGTGGTAGAGGCAACGAGAAGACAAGAGAGAGGAGACCGTCGAAGGTATGAACCTTAATATGCTGCATGCACCATCCCCTGGGGACTACATGCACGCCACTCCCCCGTGGCCATGTGGAGCCACGCTCGGTCCCTCTAGTAATTGAGGTCTGAACGTGCATGCCTGATCGGTTCGTAGGAAATTAGCTCTTATAAGGGGGTGCACATTAGCGCGATCCGGTCGGGTCGGGTCGTCGGGTCGGGTCCGTTTTCTGGTGGTTTTAGTGCACGCTACAACCCGGCCGAGATTGTACCCGACGACCTAGAAGTTCATTATTAAAGTAGAGAAAACGTTCACCTCAATGGCTTCCCATGGCTCCTTTCCGAAGTTCCTTGTTGCAGTGCTGCGGCAACCTGGAATCCCATAAACATGGGTTACATCGATAACTTTCAATAACTACATGTATAATCAAAGATCGTTCATAACAAGATGGTTCACTCGGCCAATAAAAAAGTGTTCGCAGAAGTCCGCGCATTGGTTCAGATATCTCTGCAGTCTTTGTTTTGAAGCTCTCTTTCGTTTCTCCAGAAGAAGAATAGGAAAAGCAGTTTGTTAGCTTCTCTTCTATTGTTTTTCCACACGAGTAGGGTGACTCTGTTCGTATAGTCCGCACTTTTTCGGAAAGGACGCCACCGGATTTTGAGTGCCAACATGGACACGTTACTCAGCCTTTTTGTGATCGGATGCAAACCACCCGATCGCGCGCCTTGCAGGCCTGAAAACAAACGCGTGTTTATTTGTGCAGGTCACCGACCGAGTCGATCGGTTTGTGCCACGATGGCCGCTTTGCGCTCTCAATTTGGCTAGCTCCGACTATCATCTGGACCTGACCCGACCCGATCGCGCTAGTGGGCACCCCCCTATTAGTAGAATAGAAGCTATTTGGAAGGTTGTGTTCCTTCTTTTGTGTCCAGCCAATTTTGTCACCCCGGGTTCTCAGCATCACAAACTTCCCTTCTACAAGTCAGCTCCTGTTTAATTTATTTTCGTAAAACAAGCACCAGAGTAGAAATAGTGGGTGGTTAGCGGGTTCTCTGCTGGTGTTTGCTTCTCCTTCCCCATTAACATTCGATCGTCTTCATCTCCCCTCCTCCTTTTTGTGGGCTTTTTTCTCTCTTGTAACACTTCTCATCTTCGGCGTTTATATGACTTTATTGTGTTGCAAATGCCGTAAAACTCACTAAAACTAAGAGTAGAAAGGAATGATTCAACCGGAAGACATACAATCTGATTATAAATTAAATAGGATGGATTTCCAAAGGTCTGGTTGATTTGTGTTTTTTTCTGTAAACAAATACCGGACACTGTAAGCCAGTTGAACTGGCGTGGAGCAGATCTATCCCAAGAGTCAAAAGAATTTGTTATTTATGTATGTGTGTGTTAGTTTGTTTCTGTGGGACAGGTGAGGGGAGGGTGTAATGAATTTGGTAACTCTATTACTGGAATGACAACATTATTTAATTTATGAGTACAGTATATCTGTTTTCGTGTTGTCTTTTCGGTCTAATTATCTCTTCGTCCCCCCCTCTCTCTCTCTC